CCCCAAAACCCCAAAACCCCAAAACCCCAAAACCCCTCAAAATTTCTAGTTTGTTGAGAACAACTCTTTTGAGATTTAGCTAGTGCTCAAGACTATTGACAAGGAGGAAGGCCTACATCTTCAGGGTTTATATATAGGTGCTATTAACTTAAAAGGTGGAGAGTTACGATTAATTTGAGATAGAGAAGCTAGGTATGAGGAGTTTCAATATTTCAAGTTATTTTATCTAAAGTTTAGAGAATGTAGGAGTCTTCTTTTGCATTACAGCCATCCCTGCAGTTGCGACGTCTTCAGATTGGAGTAGTGGAGCTGTGAGTCTTCTGACCAATGCAAGTCCATCTTCGATCTTGTTATCCTGAGAGTAAATGATACTCTCTTTAGTTCCTACAACACCGATTGGAGTTTTACTAGCAATGACGTCAGCTAATTCTTCTGCTCCGATGAGTAGATCTTCCTTATTTTTAAAAATTTTATGTACAAATCCTCTGTCAAAAGCTTCTTTTCCATCAAAATATCTGGCCGTGTAGAGAAGCTCTCTTGCCCAGCTGTCATTTCCGACGACTTTGGGGAATCTTTGAAGACCTCCGATATCTGTGACGAACCCGAGATCAATTTCTTTGATAGAGAACTTGGCCTCTTCAGTACAGTACCTAATATCTGCGGAGCAAAGCAGGTCTATCCCTGCTCCAATGCAGGCACCATGGACTGCTGCAATAACAGGTACTCTGCAATTTTCTAAAGCTGAGAACCAGTCTTGAACAATTTTTGCTTTGAGAAGGTAAATCCCTTTTCTGCCGACTTCCTTATCCGAGGTAGCGATAGGTCCGAACAAGACTTCGCTAGCATCCATGAGGTCGATTCCAGCAGTGAAATTCTTACCCTCTGCTTTGAAAAGTACAGCTCTGACTTCATCTTGGAAATTGAGATACTCAAAGATATCATTGATATCTTTCCACATCTGGATTGTCAAAGCATTGGACTTCTTTGGCCTGTTTATGGTAACAATAGCAACACCATTGTCCTTTATTTTCCAATCGATATACTCTGAAGTTGGCTTTTCAAGTCCTGGATCCATGATTAATTATAGATATTCTCACAAGTTTTGGCTATAAGAGGGGTTTTGGGGTTTTGGGGTTTTGGGGTTTGGGG